AGGAAGGGCGAATAACATCTGTATGTAGGAAGGGCGTCTGTATGTCTGCTTTTTATAAGTATGCAATTTGAAAATTGAAGCCTAAAAAGAATATATTTATTCAACATATAAATGAAAAAGTAAAATTTCATTTTATTATTGATAAATAGTCTTAATATATGTAAAAGAAGAAGTATTACATTTTACCGCCAAAGCAAGCCTGTAAATGTATTAAAATTTATAAATAATATACAGGCTACAGCCAAACTTCGATATAATGCCTTCCTAAATAGCGCATCCCTCGTAAAGCACCAATGGATATTCTTGAAGAGATCTCTGAAAGTATTAAATAGAAATTCTTACGCTATTCATAATGTGTATTCTTTCATTGTAAACAACATTGTTATCACCAAATTATTTGACTTTCAAACTCCTAAACTAACTAGTTTACGTACCTCATTTCTATATATAATTCATATTGTTTGTAGTACTTCGATTTATATCAATTTTAGATACAAACATTTGTTGGCGTTAAATCGAAGTTTGACTGTAGACTGTAACTAAATTGGAATGAGACTTTTCTTAGTGTTTAAATACAGTCGACCCCCTATAACACTGTTGATTATTCCGTTTTATATGAATTCCATGTTGTACGAGTCACTTAGATTTTACAAATACGTGTGCCGGGCTGTGAAGGCTCACGTATTTGTAAAATCTAAGTGACTCGTACAACATGGAATTCATATAAAACAGAATTATCAACAGTGTTAAGGGGTCGACTGTATTAATCATAGATTTTATATTATAATTACATTATGTGTTACGTAATAAATATTAACATTTCGACAAGCAAATAAAATTACAATTACAGTTCTACAATCTACAATTCTTTAAATCAACAATTACAAATCTACAATTTAAATATCCTTATAAGGATATTTAAATTGTAATTGCTTATAAGGATATAACTGTCAGACTGCGCTTCGCAACTACTAGTAGCGTGTGATTTTTCATCGAGTTAATTATGTCTATTACAGACAAGAGTAAAATTGGCTACATAGTTTATTATATGCTAGTATCTCATATTATAAATCCATTAATCATTCCTGTCATCGATATGATGAATCCATATTCTGATCCATATTCTGATGCTCCGGCAATAATATACTTCAAGCAACTTCTATCTGTCTTTCAAGGACAGATAGAACTGTCCTTGAAAGACTGTTTACCGTATAGTTAGAAATAACAATAACGATGTCATTGTTTCTAGTAAAATACAAAAATATATACAATGAATATAAAAGTTGCGTCAGCAATGATAGCAATATTTTTCCAGCTTTACTGTAAAAACAACATTAAAATATTTTTTATCTCTTTATAAAAATATCAAAGTTATTGAGTTTTTCATTTTTCTTCTGTGGGTACTAGAATAATAGCTTTTTTTCGTTTCCATTGCCAGTTAATCCCTGCCCAGAATGGGGCATCCGAATGTTGAAGGACCCTGATAAATTCGGGACAAATCGCCAATGAAAACTTTTTGGTCGGAAGTTGATATTTCAGGAAAATTCGTAAGGCAAAAATTACTACATCTTAAAATAATCAACAAGCAATTTCAAGATGGACACTATTGCTATTCGTACAGATATTAAATGACGAAGTGTCATCTTGAAATGAAATATGCATTCCAACGCCACTAAATACATGATTGTACTCAAATTTCAGTTTTTTTAAAAAAAAAGACATTCTACGTTTTAGGAAAATAGAAATCCATAAACAATCAAAAAATTTTTTATCTTTGTTTAAGTCTTAATATTTTCTCAAATAAGAAATAAGATTTAGAATTTGGAGCTTTAAACACTAAAATCGAAAAAAATAATGAAATTTGCAAAATATACAGTTATATACGAAAACAATATTGTGTTTGAATAAAATACGTGCAACATGTGCTCAGAATCATTTCACGTTAGGTTAGGTACTGTACAGTACATGTATGCGTAAAATAAGCGTTACTATAAACAGAAGCAAAAAATGTAAAAATATTTCCTAAAATTTTTACTGAAATTGAATTAAAAATCAATTAGATAACTTTTATGCACAGAAAAGTTTTCTGTGAAATCTAGTCAAATAGTAAAATCTTATTTTTAAAACACATTGATATACCGTACTCCATTCTTACTTGTTAGATCGCTTTCAGTCGGGTCAAATCAGTTGCGTATACCAACCACTCAGACCTGCTACTAAGAGCTTGTTCGAAAACATTAAAGCCGACGTTTTAGCGATAAACACATATGACGAAAAACACACTGTAATTATCGTTTAGGATCTGTGGTCGTTGTCTTCGGCGTGTGAACGCAGCCTAACCGGCGAACATTTCCGAACAACCCCTAAGTGACCTCAGTAGGTGGTCTATGTGAAAAGTTTCACACCACTCTTGTTCGAGGAGTTGTGTCTCCCTTCCGTAGACAAGGGCCACTAACTCCCGTGTGAAAGCATTCTTCAAAAATGCAAGGATTTCAATGAGGAGATAAATGGACGCAACTAAGGGGATATTCTATGCCAGAGGTGCCCAGACTTTTTGTTGTAAGAGCTTTAGTTACCTACCTGAAAATATTAGGAGCCGTACCTAAATTTCTTGGTACAGTATAAAAATATTTTAAAAATTTCAAAATCATAATGTATTTATTTTGACAACTAAACTAAGCTGTTTTTACATATTTATTACATTTTTCTATTTATTCTTTGCTAGTTGAAGGTTTATGAATTTGTAACGTTGAAATTAATTTTTGATAATCAGGTTGATAATTATAAATTGAACTTCTTATTACTTTTTTTAGATGTTGGTTGGTTAACTGTGAATGGAACTTCGATTTAATTAATTTCATCGTTGAGTACAATGATTCAACTGCATACGTCGATCCAAAAATTGACAGTAAACGATATGCGGCATTTTTTATATTGTTGAATTTTGGAAATGTGTACCAAAATACATTTCCAAACTTCATTGATTGATTTTGCCGATTTATGAAACATTTGGAGATCTTGATCTTCTTTCTTCTCAATTAATTTTAATTGTCCTAATACCGTTTCAGAAAGTAAGCATTTTAATAATGTAAAACCATTAATCACATCGATTTTAATAAAAATGCAATTGATGGTTTTAATGCTACTAAATCTGCAAATCGTTCTTCAAAATCGTTCAACAGGTTTTTTTTTTAATTTTGTTTGATAGTAAATGATGGTTGCAAGAGGAATATAGTATCAGAATCTGAAATAGCTTTTTTAAGCGAGGAAAGTGATTGAATGTCTTTTCTATTATATCCTTTTGAAAAACTTGTATTTTTCTTTTAAAACTGAAAATGCTTTGACTTAATTCTGAAATATTCTTGTTCTTATCTCGCTGTGATAAATTCAAATTTTTTTAAATGTTCCATTGTACCGGTGAACAACATTAAGTCATTGATCCATTTTTTATCTTTTAATTGCGGATATTTTTGCTTTTTTTTATCTAGAAAGCCAATAATAGGTTCCAGCAATGCTACAAACCTGTTCGTACATCGTACAGTTGATGACCACCTCACTATGCAGTAAAACAATAAATCATTGATTTGCTCAATTAAATCGAGTTCAGCAATGAAATTTCGAAACTGACGGTGGTATTTTGCATTGGTTCGAATAAAATTTTCGATTCTAATCAGCGGTATAAACACGTGATTAAAATTGAAGTATTTGGAAATTATAAATTAATGTGTAAAAAAAAAAATGTAGAGTGTGCTAGCATCAAATTTTAAAAACATCAGGTGCTGCTTGGATGCGCTAACTCTGAATTTTTAAAAAATAACAAATATTTGTATTTATTAGTTAAGCCACAATTAAGATCTTGAAGAGCTATATGCAGCTCACGAGCCACAGTTTGGGCATCGTTGTTCTATGCTGTTACGAACTCATGAATGATGATGAAAGAATATTACACCAAAATAAAATCTACTACTGTACTTCAAAATCGAATGTATGATCGATTTCAAATCGATTTTCAAGAATTTTGAGAGCGTATTGTAGAATTATAATTTATAGTAATTTTAGTTGTAGCATTGTTTTCATTGTAAATCGCTATTTAACGAACGACTTCTACAAATTATTTTTATTTAAAATTCTTTCCTCAAAAAACATCAAAATAATTTTAAATATAAACCACTTTAAACTAAATTTATATGTAATTGTGTAAATAAAACAGATAATGCTATTTCCATGGCTCAGCGATGACGGAAAATCTTAGGCAAAGATGAACATTACAGGTATGTTTTTGAAAATCCAGCGGTTTCATCTGTATCAAATTTTCTGCAAGTAATTACTATATTACTATACAAACCATACATTCGTCCATACAGTATTCATAATTTTTAATAATTTGTTTTAAGAATCGATAAGCCAATTATCCTTTATATCCATTGCAAATATTACAAATTAACATAATCCGTATTCCTGGACTAATGCAAAACTATACACTATTCAGGATAGTTTCGAACGTAAATCTGTATGGGGACGAATTGCAAATATTATTAACTTTAATTTATATATATATATCCTTTCTTTGAGGTAGACGGAACTGAAGAATAAATTTAAAAGTTTAGATAGAACGATTTCCGTATTTGTTATATTTAGATTATATGTTTGACATTAGATAAAATGATGTAATATTTATCATAATAATAATAATAATAATAATATCTCATTTTAGGCAACTATTTCCATTCATTTGAATCATACCTATTAGATTTACTGTATTATATACTGTATTGTACATTTATTCATACAATACTCTTTTGTTTTCTTCTGATTACCACAAATTTCTTTATAATGGTCTTTCGCTTTGTAATCATTTGGACCGTTTATTTTGAAAGTGGTGTAAGTCCATTTTTTTCTTCTTTCGAGATATTTAAACATTTGCATTTTAGTTGATTCAAAAATATAAACAAAGTGTACTAAGTTTGACAATGTTTCTATGACTTTAGAAATATGTAAGTTGATTGCATAAAGACTTCTATGTGAATTTATCCAAACTAATATATTCTTTCTGGGCCATAAATGGACTTACACCACTTTCATAATTACTAAACTGTAAAATTCATTAAATTTCTATTATGTAAAACTCAATGTCACTTGAAACACATTGCGTTTTATTCTGATTTTGTTCATATATAATAACAAGAAATAAAATAGTATTGTTTATTCTGAACATTAAAAATATTTACTTATTGTTAAACTATTTTATGATAAATTTATCATTATTATGAGCTTACCATTAGACACTGCTTTTCATTTAGATTCATTACATGGATTTTTTTCTAGTCCATCAAATTGTACATTTGTTGGTAATATTTACAGTTTTACTCTTCTGTTGTAAGGGGCTGTCTTTAAATGATGTCCACACTGAAAGGGAGGGAGGGGTTAAGACAAGTTGGACAAGGAGGGTTGAGTATTAGTGGACATCCATTTATTTCATTAAATTTTATACAATATGCATTTTATTATATTTATTTCAAAGTTTCTTGTATGTTTCATTTCTACTTATGGTATCTATCATTCATAAAGTGATGAAGGTTTTAACAGGGATAGAGTTATGTTGGACATCCATAGAGGGAAAGGGGTTACAAAAACTTGGACAAACTGGGACAAGAGGGAAAAGTAAACATTTCAAGAAAACTGCACATGTAATTTATGGATAGCCCAAGTACTTAGACTGTAGAAAATGGACTTATACCACTTTCAAAATCAATGGTTATGCAATGTCATTTATCGATAAATTTTCAATTGATCAAAGCTTATGGTTATTTTAAAATGTTAAGTGTGAATTGTTTATAAATAAAAAGTTCACACTAAATTGTATGTATATTATGTGTTTTCTCAATTTTTTCCAAAAATGGACTTACACCACTTTCAAAATAAACGGTCCATTTATTCTGAAGTGATGTTTCTCACTCATCAACGACATCATCCAAAACAGAAAATGATAACGAAGAAAGTTTTCAGTATCACTTCCATAATTTTAAGGTCGAAAATTCCTGAAATAACAAGAGCTACGTTTTTTTTTATAACCAGTGCAATTACTAACGTATTGGTTAGAAAAACACGATATAATTTACAATAAACATTCGTGTTATTTCACTCGAGAAAATTTCTCCTTTCGCTTCATATTACGCAATAAAAACTACCTGTTTTACGAAGAAAATCGTTGCAAAAATAAATACAGTATTGTATAAACATATAAATATTAGATCTTTATTTTGCGTAAAATTAAATAAATATAAATAAAATAACGATATTGCTAAGCACTAATATCTGTAAAGAGTATCTACTAATAACGGTTCATTTTCTAAATAAATCGACTTTATTATGATTAAGGCCCACTAACAATGAACAGAATTGAAAGCATTGTTAGTGTGTCCGGTCCAAGAAAATAATCATATTGGCAATAATAATAGTTTCATCACGTCACTATCAATTTCTATTTTATATTGATTGAATTGTTTTAAAAACTATACTGTAATAAAATAAAAATAATAGACTTTGTTGTGTATTGTTACATGTTTTAAAGTTTCAAAAAATATCAAGTAATTTTTCAAAATTTTTTATCTCAGAATTGAAACGTCGTTTTTTTATAAAAAGTATTTTTAACTATACAACTTATAGAATATTCTATTTACCTTATCGCCGTCTTCCTCTTCAAACAGATTTATCGTTTTCATTTAATAAGAATTTCATTTTTTGCATGACATGATTGACATTCGTTCTACTGAATGATACAATACATTATTCATACGAGTGGAATTAATGTTATTGGGAAAAATTTATAAATTCTCATTCATAAAACATATTTAATTCATGATTTCGCCCGATATAATCTCTACTTTGAACGGCGATCTTCTTCGTCTCTCGAGTTATTTACACGCAATAAATGATAAGAATGGTTATGTCAAAGTTAATGATGGTTTTCATTTTATATACGAAAAATAAATAAATTTAATATTGGCTACTTATCTGTATTTAAGTTATATAAAATTTTAATATATTTGGAATCTTTCTAAACATGTTTTGAATTCTTTTATGAACAGTAAAAATTAAAAACAAAACTTCATCTTATTGCAATGATTCCATTAGAAGATAAAACAGAACTTTTTCTTTTAAGATTTATAAAGCTTAATTTTAAAATTTGTTATTTAATTTTGTATTGTAAAAATTTCCGATAAAAAGCTCGCGAGTTATTAAAAGCTTAAAAGCATTATTAGCTGTATTTTACTTAATATTAAGAGTGCTTCGGAAAAGAATTAAATTTTTTTAAAGTTTCGACTCAAAAGAGTAGTAAATTTTATTTTTTAAATTATAGTATGGTGGAGCCGAGATATCGCTAATACTGTATCGTTAGTTTATCTTACAGAACAGTTTAAGCTGATTCTGCAAGACTGGAACCTTTTCTTTTCTGTTTCGGGATTTCTTCATTTCTTTCTTAGCTACTATGATCCATTCAATAAAGATGATAAGAATTTTTAGTGCTTTTGACTAGTGAATTGTTAGATGTGTAAACTTACTATTATATTTTCCAAAGCCATGTATGAAAGACTTTAAGCTTTTCTTAGTTATTTCCTGTAAGTTACCTTTAAGAAAATAATTGTTACCTCGTGTTTTTAGTTTTCATTTCTAAGAATTCGAATAAAATTCATAACTATAATTAATTTACGCATTTTTAATGATTATATTTTAATTAATCTCTAAAATATGCTGGGATTTATTATGGCTTTCAATAATTTTTAAAGTATAATAAACATAGGCTATTTGAGAGTGCTTAAAATTTTTCTTTTGTCATTATTATAACGAACTTCATTATGAATACTAGCTGTGAAAGATTATAAAGAAAATAAAATTACAAAGTTTCTCATCTGTTGGTATATTTTTAAAATTATCCTATGAATTTTTCTCGTAAAAATTTAAATTTTAGAAACTAAAAGATTTTATATTTTTATACATGTTTTTTATTATGTTTTTCAATTATTGAAATAACTGAACTTAGTCAATATTCACTAACTGAAGCAATTAAAGAAAATGAGAAACGAAATTTTATAGTATTTATATAGAGAAATTTAATTTTTATTCTTTTTAATTTAACATTTTTTAGAAAGTTTCTAAAACTTTCTAAATTTTAAAAGGTTTTGAAAACAATTTTAATTTCTTTTCGAAACCTTCAAAATTTGAAAATTTTTAATGTTTTAGGCTAATATTAAAATTTATTTTTTTTTGCAATAAAAATACCAAAAAGTAAAGTTAACATTTAATGAGACTTTTCTTATTAATAATACAATTGGAATTATTTAATTAAAAAACTTAAATATTTCAAAAGGTTTCTAAAAGATAAAAATATGAAAATTTTTAATACGATGAGAACAGAAAACGAGCGGCGTGTTTGAGCATGTTGCTTAATTAATAAAGCGATTTTAATACAGCTGCATAAGCAAACCAACGACGAAATCTGTTTTAAATGAAACCTGCTATGTCATTGACTTTCTTGTACAACAATATTAAGGCTCCTTAACAAAGCAACGGGTTCATTGAGTTTAAGGCCACTTTCAGACGGGCTACTCTGTCGCTCCATTGAGAGGCACCACTCAGTAGCGTATACCAGCGACTTCTATGACGTGTTACCAGCTGGACGCTGCCACGTAGGACGTATCCTTAGACGCGCCATTACTCGGTTGTCATGGATAGACGCCACTTGTGGACACCCACGTCTCTCTGCCACAAAAACGCGCCACTAACGCATACCTTCAAAATACAAGGATTTCAATGGAGAAATGAGTTGATGATATTGATTAGTATCGCTCAATGGCGAGATAGACTGGCCGTCTGAAAGTAGCCTTATTTTAAACCAGTAGTGCCCAAACTACGGCCCATGGACCAAATCTGATCTATGGCACATATTAATCCGAAGCGTGAATATATTTGACAGATCGGATATGATAAAAATAGATCTACTTTCTGTATACGGGATCGTCCTTAAATTATATAATGCTATTTTTATACTTTTCAGAGTCATTTCACTTCCCGTAATGCTCCGTAATGTTGCCACACATACTCACTTCTAAAATGACGTAACGTATATCCCGATCAATCTCCTTAACTCCTAATGAATACGTATGTAATACAGAATACAGGGTACTAAACGTTATATTATTTTATTAATTACATGTGTAAAGTACAAAGCAGTGAAATAAACAGTACAGATGGCTACGCAACACTTCAGGAACAAAAATGAGTCATTCTGTTACCCAGCATTGAGATCCTAGCATTCAGTAAACGTTTTTTATATCTATCCCCCATCCTCTTGTAAGACATCATAATGATTACAGTACCTGAATACCCATCTACTCATATTTGTGTTTTGTTATTTATAGGCAAACGTATATGGAATATACAGTACTCGGCATTCTTCTCTGTTAAATTTGCAAATCACTGCCATTGTAAATAATATTATGTACATAAGTTTGCTATCGTGTTTTATTTTGTAGCCCGAGCTGGGCATTCTGTTCAAAGGTTATGCTGTTATATTTTGCTCTGTACTATTTCTGTTTGTGTCTATTAACCCAGTAAATGCATATGCGCGTCAGGGACCCTTCCTCTTCTATCTTCCTTTCTTCCCACTTTTCCATCCCCTTTGGCCTCTGCCACCAGTACTTTCTCTTACGTCTACTTTTTTCTCACTTCTTTTCACTCACTTTACGGAAATACCTCTGAGTAACGCCGTCTATTCTTTACTATAATACTATATGGGATATACAAAATATTTGTGGCTTGTCTAATTACGCGTAATTTGACCCGCCAATCGAAAAGTTTGGGCACTACTGCTTTAAGCCAACTTTTTATGAACATTTGAATATTTTCAGAGAAACTAACCATATATACTTTTTACAATTTTCCAATACAGAAATAATTCCTTTTAATTAAATATATTATACAAAATAAGTTATAGAAAATTTTATATTTAATGTAACTTATACATTCTATCTAGTAAGTTCAGTATTATAAAAAAAATCCAAAATTCTATTTATATTATTCAGATCGATTAGATCAATTCCGTTCCATCTGCTATCATTATTATCAATAACTAGTAAGAAGCTCTTACATGGAACAAAAATGTTAAAGTAATAAAATTCTAATATCTACTCCTACGCATCCTTTCAAGATTGGCCGGTCGATTGCTAAATTAGATTAGATAAAAGACAATTTTAAAAAATTGTAATCGTTTAAGAAATAATGCATTTTAAGCTTAACAATTATCTACCAGCTTTTCTAATTTCATTACAAAGTTATTGATAAGAAGACTCATACGAACGGTAAATTAATCTAGCATGAATCGTAATAAAGAATAAGGAGGACGTCAATTATTCATAAAAGCAATATCTGTCATTATCCAGTTCTGTTATTAATAATTTCATCGATTTGTTTTTTCGATAAAATTATTTTATATCAAAATATAATGTCTACGTAACTATTTTTATATTTTAATGTATTTGAGGTTGTTTATACTTAAAGCAAAATATTTGTTTTAACACTAAACATTATTAATTTATAATGGTGTGTCGAAGTTGATTTTAATTTAAGAAGTTAAAAAAGAGATGTTTTAAACATCATTTATATGTTCTTTTGGTAAAAAAAAAAGAGTTTTAGATATAAATTTTTTGATAATAGTAATAATAGCGTAATGTTTAATGCATAATAGTAAATATAATACAGAAGCCCTCGTTATATCGCGCTTGTCGGGAGACAAAGAAAAAGCGTGATATATCAGGCGGTGTGGTATAACCGAGTACTAAAAATTCTGGGCTTAAAAATTACTAAATAGACTATACATGCTATGGAATCTCCATCCCCTATTCTTTCATTAAGTGTTTCTGATATAAAATAAGCTTAATTTTTCAATACTGAATTTTATTCATGGTTATATCGTATTAATTGACGTTTACGTAAACATCGATACTATAAAAGCCCATTTAGCATTATTGTTTGTTAACAATGGCATTTAAAAATAAACACTCTCAATATAAAAACAAAATATCAGTTACGATTTATTATACAGTGCTATATTTCATAATAAACCGCTTATTAAAAAATTCGTATAATTTATATTTTTGAATAGAAATTGTAAATACAGTAATTGAAAATACAGAAATTTAAAAATTAAATATTCAACATATAACAGAACATTAAAACTTATAAAATTACAGAGTAAAAATTCCCTAAAAAGCAAATTAAAATTACTATTGAATAAAAAGTTTTAGAGCTTTCAGCTCAGAAATAAAGAAATGTTTTCCTTACACATTAACGCGGTGAATTCGAAATTTCACACTTTTATGTGAATTGATATAATACCCTCAATTTACATAAAGGTGAATTGTGAAAATTCTGTGAAATTTCGAATTCATTGAAACTTGTAAATGAGAAGACATTACTTAAAACCAATTAATATCAAAAGGAAACAAATGATAATTGTTCTGTCTACCTGTTTTGCTTATTTATATGTTGACGAATTTATTGTTTCACCTGCAATTTTATTTTAAAAACTTTTCTATATAATTAATTGTTATAAAATGCTAAAAAACTTAATTTTTGGAGAGAGGATGAGTTTTATTTAAAAAATTGTAAATTCTAATAACGATTAAAATCTTCATTAAGTGAAACAGGACTCCAGATATGACACACGACCCCCTCAATCTTTAACCATCAAAATTTAATAGCATCGACCCCCTTAATACACAAACCTCTTTGCAAAATTTCAAAAATTTTCGACATAAAGCACAGGAGTTATTAAGCTTCAAAGTGGATGAACAAAATTGTGCCCCCCCACATATATAAACATCCATACATACAAAAAAATCCTCTGAATCTTTTGCATTTCTCGACGTTTCAAGGTCCTCTGAGTCTAAAATATAAAAATCTTGGAAAGATCATTTTTTGACCGATCGTCATACTTTTCTTTTGTTATATATAACAACAGGGAAAGTAAAACGAGTAAACACGATCAAAATGAAACTACTGAAAATGAGAGATTAAATCGAAGTCTCATCTTTACTTATCAAAGAATCTACAGCGGTAGAATCTAATGACAAAACTAAAAACATCACAAAGCCTATTATGTGCTAGTATTTATTGATTAAATATTAAATATTATGTATTAAATTTAAATAAGTTTATTTATTTTAGATTTTGAAAGTTGCGAATTATTTAAAATACAATTTTAAATAATTCGTAAATTATTAATAAAAGAATCTTCGTAATCTATCTTTTTTTTTTTTTCTCACACATCTCAGAAACACAACAAACTTACACAATAGGGTTCATTATAATTTTGAGGCTATTCTCAGCCTTATTAAATAAAACTTCTTAAAATCATCTCTCTGGAGATGATACAGTGTAAAAATATATCATTTTTTTATCAATTGGTATTTTTACATTACTGTTTCTTATATTACTCAGACTTTTTAATTGTACATTCGTCCTTGGAATTATTCTGAATACGTTAATTTTTTACACGGTATCTGTCTATAGGAGGTAGCTAATGTGACCGTACAGTAAACTGGTTATGATAAAAGCATCTAGGTCGATATTCAGTTTTTCTCATTAATTTCAGTTGGCGAACATCGCTATATTTATTTGGATTATTTATGTGAAGTAAGAACGTCATTTCGTATGTTATATGAGTAGCTGGCACGCTAGAAACATGGAGATAGAAACCTTTATTACCAACTTCGTATCGAGGGCGGGGCAACCGAGCCACAACAAATTCGATATGTAAAACCAGTAGACAAATATTTTTTAAAATATTAAATAAGTAAAAAATATTAGTTTTTTTTATATACAGTATTATATTTTTATGTGTTATTCTAAAATGTTAGTACTCACTCCTAGAAAAGGAGGAATACAAATTCAAGTAGTTTATTTAATAGATTATAATAGTTAAAAATAGTTTTAAATAGAAAACTTTTTAAAAATAATTGTTTTACATTCATCAATATGTTATTATAGTTAGTATTAACATTAAAGTTGTTTTTTCTAAACTCTGAAAATTTATCACAGACAAATATAAGGATTCTACATTTTTCCATACAAAGAAAAATTTATTTAATCCAAGCTGTATAAGATATTTTAAAACATTAAAAGTAATTTTTTATTATATAACGTTAGTGGATTGCAGATATTCTGTATTAATGAAGGCTACAGGCTAAGTAAAATAAATATTTGCTATTCTTTGTCTATCCTTACGATGTAAATTATCTTAAAACTTTTAAACAATTTCTTTGATTTAATTACAGTATGATTTCAGAAGCTTGCTCTAATTACTCCAAAGAGAATTTAATATTCTATTCAGTTCTGTGTACCAATTTAATTTTTTTTCTTTTAGAACTTACTTCTAATTTCGTTTAAACGCCAAATTCTATTGAGAGTGGATTGTTTAATGTTTTTTGTATTGATACAATATTAAAAATTGATTCTAATGTTTAGAAATTCTAATTTATCTTTTATTGCATATAATATAATTTATTTACATTGAATAACTGTTTAATACTGTGTGTGTAATTAAAATGAATTAATAAATCGAAGTACCCCCTTAACAGAGCACCGTAGAGTAAATGAATCAGAATACTATGTAGTTTCTTATGAATAGGAATACTGAGACTTTTTATTAAATATGTTAATCAAATTCTCTATTTTATTCATAACAATACTTTATTTTTATTTTTTATATGATTCTCAGAAGTCAAGGAATTTGTTATACTGATTCCGAAATATACAGTACAATCTTTAGTCATTTCCATTTGAGAATTATCCATAAAAAATTTATCTCCTTTACTATATTTAATATCATTATTTTAATTTTATCTTAATTATTTTTTTAATCATTGTGAGGAATTTCGTCAATATATTTATTTTTCCTCCGCATATGGAAAATAAAACAATTCCATCGGTACACAATAGAAAATGCATATCTTTACTACTAACCTCAATTAATCCTCCATCACTTTATCAAACTCATTTGTTAAATCTTTCAAGCATAAAATAAATAGCATAGGGCTTAGTGGGAAGACCTAACTTCAGTTCGTACTTTTTTTTTAACATGAATTTTAGCTTACAAGTTTGTAAACAGTGTTTCTATTACTAACCGAAATTTAAGTGAAATTTCGAAAATATGTAATTTAGAAAACAATCTCTTTAGATTTACAGAGTGAAATACTTTACGAAAATTTACAATACAAGCAATTAATGTATGTCCATTTTGTGTAATTGGTTTTGTATTAACGAATATAATGCAAAAACTGCCAATACTGTACTTTTCCAATTTGAAATCCATATTTATTATACTTTTTTCGGATATTTTTCATACGATTTTATCAAAATTGATATAGGGGAGACCGGGGCAACTTCGGCATGCGGGGCAAGTTTGTCAAGCGCTTTTTTTCAAAAACAAATTAAAAGGAGACTTTGGTTATAGGTTGAGCAGTTGAGTTTTATTGGTGGCTTGTTGAGCGTAGTGTTTTTACTGTTCTCCAACAAGCGTAGTTGAATTAATAAGCAAATTTTCATTTTCGTTCAATTCCATATTATATTTTCCTTCCATTTATATTGAATTGGCAGGTTTTGTTATAATTCCATGATAACGAAAGTTACTTTTCCTGTTAGAAGGATGTAACTTCAACTTATTCACGTTGCCAGATCGTGGCTTGTCATTCTGTTCTCAGGGTTGTACTTAATGTTTCGAAATCATGACTAGCGGGGTAAGATCGGCAACATAAAGCCACATTAGAAGCAAAGGATAAAAATCAAACAGATGATAAATGAAAACATGTTTGCATTTGTTATTCATGTATATGTCTTTGAACTTGCATTTCGTTGTAATAATATTAAATGGGTGTTGGATTTGTATTTCTTTGTTTTAATAGTGAATTCCAACTTATACATTGTTAATAACATAATTTTATGTACGTGCCTATCTTGCCCTATTACTGTTGCCCCTATACCCGGGGCAACTTCGGCAATTTCTCTCTTCTTGTAAAGTTGTAATTATTTTAATTATTTTTATTTCCAAACTGATTTTAACCAGTTCTATAGTAAGGTAACATTCCAATAGACAATATGCAAAGCTTTTTTTTCAGTTTACAGCAGTATTTATTACACAAAATTTAAGTAAAGCTTAACATGCCGATCTTGCCCCGGTCTCCCCTAAATATTTTCTGGATAACAGGTAACAAAGAAATGGAACGATAGTTACTCGGTTCATTTATATCTCCGTTTTTATATAGGTATATTACTTTCATCTTCATTTTTTCAGTCTTGAATTATTTCTTTGTTATTAATAATTTCGTTAAGCATTGTAAATAAAATCGTAAACTTTCTACTAAAAATTTTAATAGCGATACTGGATCTGAACTGTTCTTCATTTTTTTCTAGCACTTCTTGTAGTTTTTCTGGAATAATTTTTATCCAAATGGGACCTATTTATATAATCCAACAATTTAAATTAAACGATAATAAATATATTTAAAGTTTGTCTAAACATTTGTCTAATGAGATGTCTTTAATAAAATTTGGCATATTACAATGATATTCATTTATTCGCTTTCAGAATGTCTTTGAATCCTTAGTCTTTGTAAGACCGTAATTTTTCTTTTTTGTCTATATCCAGTGATTTAAACTTATATTTTATTTTTAGATATTTTTGTAGTTCTAGAAATGAATTACTTCTGACAAATTTACAGACTAAGTTTTCTTTTTCTTTTTTTAAACTTTCTTACAATATTCATTGAACCATGGAGATTTGTTGTTATTTGTCATATAAAAATCAGGTTTGCAAATTTTATATATCAATAATTGCACAATGTATAAGAGGTACGCCATAACTCCAGCACACGGTTTATTGAATCAAAGTAAACTTTTTCTCCCAGCCAAAGAAACGTAAAGATTCATTCTAAAAAATATTCATCAATGAAAGAGACCATATTTTCGATCATTTTTTCTAACGAATTTATTTAATTTTTCTATTTCCTGTACCGGACTTTTACATTGCATCTTGATAGAAAAATAATTACATTGATCTTCTTCTAATACGATAAACTTTTGCACGCTTAATTCTTGGGATATTAAACAAAAATCTATTTTATATTTAACTTTTCTCTTTCCGGAATATAATATGTAACCGCCGAATTTTACTTCAACCATTTAACACCAACAAATCATGACGTTTTTTAAATTCTATTAAGTTTCCCTTTGTAGAGTTATAAATTAATCTTTCAGTTAAAATTGCATTAAGAAACCTTGAAAGTGAACCTGACAATTGTCTTATAATCGCATTGAAATCTCCCATTATTAATATTTCATTCAATCCATCTACGTAGTTTTCCATTAGTAATTTTATATCTTTAAAGTAAAAGTTATTTTTCCTAGAATATTTGTAAACTAATAATAATATATTTAACTTCTTAAAAAATCTAATATTATGTATTATCACTGCTATGCACTCTGCACATGAGTCAATTAGTTTTGGAGAAGCTAATCCTAATTGATAACCATTGCATTCCACTCGATGACAATCATTTTCTTGTTACTGTGCCAGCTACAATAGATGCAGCAGTAATAAGAAAATGAATGTCATGGAAATAATATGTTGTAAAACAACAGTTGCTAAACTTCGTCCCATGAATGTACTGATGAGGATCGGAAGAGCGAAATGCAAATACGAAAAAAATAAAGAAAATAATAAACAGTAATAACTTAAGTAATAAGTAACAATTTTTAAAGTATTGATATTTTTAATACCGGTTTATTGTTTTTAACATTTCACCTTGGATGAAGAGTCGGAAAAACACAAGAGAGAATTTTATCATAGTTTTATCAAATTTTACATATTTTTAATATAATTTTAACGCTATGTTTGTTTTCTACGATTTATTTTTTTCATGATTTTCACTAAATGTTTTCTACGTAATTGAAATTTAGTTACCAAATGTGCAGATACAAAGTGATTTCTGAGAATCTTTAGTCGAATATTTCAGTCATTTTTTAATATTGTATTTAATTACAGACTTTATTCAGTTTAATACAATGTTTATTCAGTTTAATACCCCGTGAACCTGCTTTTCTTTTCATTTTATTAAACGCTTTTATTTAACTTGCTTTGCATCATATTCTCAAATTTTTTAATTCAAATTTCACTCACTTCTAATTAACATAGAAAAATGAAACTTTGAGGACATATCTAAGTTTCATCTTTCATACCATAACTATGCATTTTAATGAAGTTTTAGGAGATGGCCCCACTTCCACATCCTACCAGATGAAGAATTTAATCATAATGTGGGTGCGTGAATGCATTCTAATGATGTACAGTATATGTTGTTGGTGACTCGACGCCACCATCCCCAATTCCAAACTCGAGAAACATGACCAATAAAAGTGACTTTTCTATTTTTTAAAATATATCAAAGTTATTTCACACAATAGATATTAAAGTTATATTATTAATCAAGTAATCAATTTAGAAATATATTCCTTTGAGTTTATTTTCTGCATTATAACATAGTTAAATAGCATAAGATTTTTTCATTATCTCATTAGCTAACCTATTCATATAAAAACCTGAACCTGTATTGATTTCAAAAAATAATATATACAAATCTATTGCTGTATGAGCCAAAATGATTGTATAGAATAATAAATTATACTTCTTGTATCATAAACTTAATTTATCAACTGCTAAGACATTATGAAAGAATGTTTAAATTTCTAAATTACTCTTTTTTTGTTAGATAAAATATTGAATGGTATTGTATTATTATTGAACGCAATTTTAGATAAAAATATATATGCCATACAAGGAAGGCCGTATCTTGCGTATAAACTTAGGGCCTCGTGTTATGAATGTATGGCTCGAGGAATAACATTTTTTCATTTATCAGTATTTAATGACGAGGGAGGTTAATTATGTTATATATTAGTGCTACAACAAGTCTAAGTCCAGCCCTGCATACAAGTCATTTTTGAAAATAGAAACTTCTCAATTTTTTTCTAACATAAAGAAAATCTATTATCATTATTTTAGAATAAAATTTTCTCATTTTTATATTTGCATATAATGCAAAAACTGCACAAAATTATCAATAAAAAATAGCAATACTAAAAAAATTTAATTTTAAAAATTACATTCTATTTATTATTGCCTCTATACAAGAATTTTACAGCCTAAACTGTTCAATGTAAAATAACACCGAAATTGTAGAGCGTATTAATAAAAAAAAGAAAAAAACTATTTTTTTAAGATAAAATTTGTCATTATATTTTAAAAGTACTTTCAATACGATAAAATTTCATCTAAAATAATTTTTATTTATTTATTTAATTGAAAAAAGAAAATCGAAAGTACAATTTCCACGCGCGAATTGTTCGAAATAATGAAGTAAATCCGTTAAAAGAATATAAAATTACAATATAAGAGAGAATTTTTATGATGGAACTCTTTTTGTAAGAGACGAATAATTCCTAAAAACTCTTGTGATAAGGTTATTTACCCACTAAAAAAATGTAGCCATCGTTTGTAATGGAATCACATTCCTTAATCTTATGATTACTGATAGATGCATTCAGAATATAGCCATTTTCCAACTAACGACTGAAATTATGAAAAAAGAAACACACTCAATTAATTTTTTGTGATAGAAAATCTTACGTTAATCCTAAACCGATCGAAATTTTTGTTTTAAAAAGACGTTCGAAGTCATTGCACTTCTTTCCGGTTCGATATATACCGAAATTTTAAGTGAACAAAGATGACATTTTCTTGTATCGTGTATTTTATTATGAAAAATATGTTTAGTTTATATTTTATAGTTTTTATTTTTACAAATATCAATATATAAATAAAATTATTATTTCATAATATTATTCATTCTTTTAAAGAGGAGATTGAAAAATTAATAGCTTCTAAAGATTAAAAACTTTCGTAAACATTTCTAAATAACAATAAAATTTCATTTTGATGTGAATTTAAATAGTAGTCTACTTTATACATTTAATTTTTCATTCTAAATTTCCTTCGGTTTAATTTATTATTCTTAATATTAATGGAATCCTTAGTTACTACTACCGCATTTCAGCCTACTGTTTTGTGGGACCCGGAATCGAATTTGGGAGATCGAAAAACTCAGGAATTTTTAGAAGTGATCCCTTCTAGATATATCGGGCCAATACCAGGCAGCATCATTGTGTGCCTTGCCGAATCCTTAGCTGAAAATTGGGTCTCTTAGTATACTTAATTTAGTGCCTACGGAGCGAAAAGAGACAACAATGAAAAAACTCCGTATACAAAAATTATTAAAAACGAACTAGAGATTATAAATATAATTTTTATTTTTATCATACGATTCAGTAATTGTCTATATTTAAAATGTAATAAATAATTTCATTAAAAATCACATATATTTTAATTTTATAATTAGTAACAAATATGAAATATTATTCTAAGTGAAAATAATTTGAATTATTTATTTTTGAAGCATATTAATATTATTAGTATTTATTATTATATTATTCGTATTAATATTAGTAATATTGTTAGTAGTATTAGTAGTTTTAAATTATATGCATAATTGGCTGATTTTGTAAGAAAAAAATTACCCACTCATCTTACAATATTTTCAAAATACTTACATGTGAAATCAAAAAGAATCTTCATCTCTGAAATTTAAATGACTTATTAAATTATGAAATGAATTTGAAATGTTAAAATGTTGCTGGAAGACGAATTTGTTTTTTGGGGAAATGCTCCCTTATCCACCAAAACAATCTTTTTTTCTCGTCCTGAAGGAGTAAAAAGACTTTTTTAAGCCTGTCGTGGGTTTGGCCAGACCATCCGGGTGGTCAGAAACGGAACCTGACATATTTGGAATGCCAAAAATTCCTAGGGTTTTTCAAACGACCGAAATCAATTGCGAAGTCAATCCCAGATTGGTAGATTTATACCTTAACCTTCAGCCAACCGTTAAATTTATAATATAAAATTCATATTTTAAAATGTAATCACTTAAAAATTGATAATCATTTTAAAGTGGCATAAGAAATAAAAAAAGTGAAATTATGAAATATTTTATTATTCTAATATCCAAGGGCTTTTGCTAACAATAATGTACTTTACTACTTCCTTGATTATACGGAACGTTCTAAATCGTAAGCTATCGGGAATTGACATACTTAACTATCAGAAAGAAGAATGAAATTTCTTTGGGCGGACAGGTAATTTATGAGCTAAGATTTCTGCTTTGGGCGTAGTTTTGTTTGTTAATAAACTTAGAAACTCATTTATTACACTAACACGAATGGAAGAAGGTAGGTTATATGAATCTATATTACACCAATAAAGTCTTTCTAGTTATGTTTATTTCCATAGAAATTGTGATGTACCGTACATATGTATGGCATAATTATAAAATGCAGATCATTTCAGATTATATTCAAGTCAATTCTAAATGTTTAGATTTGTGCTAATAGGAAAACGTGAAGCGTATCCATTTTTTCATTTTTCATAATTCGTGACACTTAGCTTGACATTTAGTAACAAGATAAAAATTACCAGATTGATACGAGTACTTTTAACGACGATTTAACAACGATTTATATAAGAGAAATTGAGAAGAAATATGTAGAATAATATCATTTTAATCTTCGTCTGTATCTTAGAAAAACATCTTCATAAACTTATCATCATCGTTTTTGAAAAATGTGGTTTTGATTCTTAATTTCTTGTCTTCAAAATTTCATATTGTTAGTAATCTATAATCATACTAACAACTAAACTACTAAAATATTATACAAAATTTATACTGTTTATTTACATTATAAAAACTCATAAATACCAAATAATGGCCTATTAGCGTTTACAAGGAGAAATAAATAAATAAACAATATAAATATAAATGAAATGACTAAATACTAGTTTCAAGACATTAAATTTTCAAAGAAATTTTGTTAAGAGAAGAGTTAATTATTATAATTTATATAAACTTTACAATAGATTCGTGTAAAAAATATAGCCCGTATACAGAATCTTATAATTCTCATCATTTAAAAATAATTTTATTGTTATTAGAATTTTAATTTTTTTAAGTCATATACAAAAATATTTCTTTGAAAACTATTCATATATTATTTATTTTTATTTAGACAGTTTACATGATCTAAATTACATAAAATTGATCAATTAAAAAATTCCATAATTAAAATACTTCAAATAATTTTATCAGTCGTATATTTAGGCTATTCAATAAAATGGTAATACATGTGTATTCTATGAAAGAATAAACTCAAATAGAGATTTTAGTGTACTCTACATATATATAGACCCTATATATACAAAACAGTCCAAAAGTCAGTTAACTTAGATATATAGACTATATTTTTAAGCAATAAATTATAATAACATGCATCTATTTCAAACTAATTTTAAGCTACTACTATAACGTATATACTCGCACAAACATATAATACCTGCAATTCTTTTGTTTGCTTATTTCAAAAGAGTCTTCTTTGAAAACATTACTTGATACATTTAAAATAACCAATTTGGTCATAATACTTGTAAGTTAACATCAATTAGAAATTTATTACAATATTTTGTGTATATAAAGATTAATTAGGATTTCGATAGTTATATATTGCAGGTGTTATACTTTTATTTATATATTAACCCTTCATAAATTATTTATATGTGAAGCCAAAGTAATTAAGAAAACGCTTAGTTTTATATAAAGGTAACACAAGTTTACTATTATTTTCATTAGTTTTAAATTTTTTAAATATTTAATAAATATTTCTTGTAACATATTCGATATACAATATTTCGGAATATTGAATATTTTGATTTAAAACATTTCTATATATATCAATAATAGAATTGTTTATATTATCATTATAATATATATGATATAATATCGTTATAATATAGATGATACTAACAAAACTTAAGTACACTGTACTAATCCCTAAGCTTATTAAAATTTTAATATTTAGTAAAAATGATTTGCTTCAGTAATAATCCTAAAATGTTTAAATTCAAGTACTTAGAATGTTTGTTTTAGATAAATTAGTACAGAACATGTAGACGACGAAAAGTGTTGAATGGAACTACGATAAGGTCGTTATTACGTAAGCATCTTTTGACTGGTTAAAAATCAAATAAAAAATATATTTTTATTACTCAATCCATACAAAAAACGAACAGAAATATAATTTTGAGTTTTAAATATTAAATTTGAAACTAAATGCTACTTAGATTAGCTTTCATTTATAAGTACTAAAGAGTTTCATTTCTGAGCCAGTGTTTCAATTGAGAGATAGGTTGAATTCCCAGTACTTTCTGCAGCCTAGGAATTATCGATCTGTCTACGTCACTTCCATACTACCCTGTGATGTGAATCGATTGCTATAACAGTCGCTGCATCGCCGTTGTCTAGAATTGTCGTTCCCATCCTCGCCATGTCTCGAGTGACCCTCCTTTCAATCCTCATCTCAATCCTCACTCTGATCTCAGGTATGTTTTTAATGTAGTCCTTATAAATCGCTAACTTCCTAATAATTAGATGCGCCTCTCTTAATACATGTAATTTACTTTCTACTGCATTTATAAATTCGTTTTTATTTTTTGCAGCCATAAATAATAAATAAAACTCAATTAAGTGTTAAATTCTTTAGCAATTATTACAATTACTAGAGATATAATGATATTTATAGATATAAAACAACATAATTAATCAGTAAATGAATTCATTTAATATCGATTAACTGAAAGATAATTATTATTTTCAGCCAATTTGTTCTAATGATTCAAAACAATAATTGCCCTTAAGTTAGTTCATTACATAATTTATGAAAAATTATAAATATATATATCGATTTATGTGAATTAACAAAATATTTAATCTTTTTAAATTTTTATTACGTGAAAAAATATATATACAGTATTTTCCTTCTAAGAATTTAATCCTCTTCGATAATCCTATCGTTAGGAAGAGGAAAAAAGAATATCAACGGTTCGGTTTCTCCAGTAATGAAAAGTGTGCAGCAGAGAAACATGATTATCAGGGGCATTCACTTGTTGGATCAATGCATTCAGTAATGATGATGTTAAAGTTGAAGCAATATTATGTTACCAGGTTAATCTGTTAATGCATAAAAATTGCAGTTTGTTTTAAATTGTTACTGAAGTTTTTATTTTAATTATTAATATAATAAAATAAGAAATACAATCTGATAAATAAAAAAATATAACTCAACCATACGTTTTCATTTTTAATGCATAATATAAAATTAATTTTAAATTATTTTATTATTTATAATACAGAATAAATACAATAAAATGATTATTAAATTGATGAAAAAATATTTTAAAGTTTAATGTCTAAATTAGTGATTAAACTAAAACTGATGTGTTTCGTGTCAGTAAGTTTTTGCAAAGTTTTATTATTTCTGTGAGTAAAATTAATAAAATATAATCCAAAATTAAAATACAAATTTTATGTGACAAAGAATAATCATAGAAGTTGACAGTGGAATGTTGAATAAAACGAGCTCTTTCCAATCGATTAAATGCTTTTGTGGTGTAAGTGGAAAGTAGAAACCATGACAACCATTTGTGTTCGTGTCTCAAGTTTATTGAATTTATTTCTATAGGTATATATTTCATACATTAAAACAAAATATTCATTGCTATCTCTTTGCTGTAGCAGTCGTATAATATTACCATTTGGTTTTTTTATATTTGATTTTTATCCATTGTCAAACAGTAATTATTTTTCAAAATATTGCAAGAAATTGAATGGATTCGAAAAATTTTACTTCACATTAATGTATCTTGCCAACTACGTCACACAAAGAATTTATTGGCTTCCATCCAGTAGCATCAATCATCTACAATGTCGTAATGATATTTTAATATTTATTACGTGATATTTTTTATTTTCTAACGATCGTAATATATAGCGTATCGTTAATAAGTATCCATTAATTAATATGAATTTCTTTAATTTTTTTCGTAATTTTGTGCGCTAGACTATATTTTGTACGCTACTCCACCCAATATGACGTCATGCTCGCGCTACACGTGAGTCCAAGGTCGGATGTAAACACCTGTGACAGTCACCTAGCAACCCACACTAAAATATTTGTCCTGACCTCCCTTTGTTTCTTAGTGCTAAAAGTTTTAGTTCCCCTCTGTGAATTGTTTGTATAAGAGAATGCGTAAACAGACTCGTCTGGATCGTCGTATTTATAAATTGAGTTCTATCGAAATTTTTCACAGGAAGTCACTTATTGATATGAAGTTTTAAATGGAGAAAGTTGTGAAATAAAGAGAATTTCTTCTCGATATTTCGTGCTACCGAAAATAATCGATCAAGGACGTAATCAACATCGAAAAACACTCAACGATAAGCCTCTCCCCCTTCCCTCCTCACTTAACAGAAACACGAAGTTGCCTCAGCGATCAAAATTCTATTAGGGAAACTTTAAAATAAAATCTTGTCGTTGCTCCAATTAATTGCTTTTATTCGGAAAAATAAAATATATGGCCGATATCAGAAAAGAATGCTAATAAAATAAATTAAATTTTATTAGCGTTCTTCTCTGATGTTAATTAATAACGTCACTTCCGAAGCCATTCTTGCAGTCGACGTCGTATTGGTAGAGCCAATCCCGCAGTTCGTAAATAAAATTTGGCTTTGTTAAGAAAACCTTTCTTAAAATGCGTAGGATTATCCCCATGTGTTAACATTTGGTGCAGACATATAATGGTAACATTCAATAGGCCTTCAGATTATTTTATTATAAAAGAATATCTTCTGTTAGGGTCATAATAAAGCGCACAAACGTGATTTCCTAAGCACTAACTCATTAGAAAGATAAGCAAGAGATATTATTTTTAATGTAAATATTTAATATCGGAAAGTGTTTAAATAAAATTTCTAGTTATTTTATTATTTTAGAAACATTAAAAATTATTGGAAAGATAAATGTTATCTGTTTGTTATATATATTAGTAAAGGCATATTCATAAATATTTTTGAAATTAATCAAACAAATGTTCACGTTTTTGGTGTTTTAAATGTTATAAACGTAATGTATTATTAGAAAAATACTGATAGAAGCTTGTTTTTATTAATACAAACACATTTGTATTATTAGAGAAATAAGGTGACGATTATCTCTGCGTTCGTGCCTACTTACCCTTTTAATAAACTCTCTTGATAAAATGTTACTTTCTATAATTTATATTTATGGAATTTTTATTCTTCTCGTTTCTGTAATGTGTTTTTCAATTTTTGAGATGATTAAAATTCGTGTAACGATAATTTATTTAGTTTGAACTTTTCATTCATTTAATATGTTTGTATTGACTGAAAAGGTTTACAATAATCTATATTTTTAATTTCCAAACATGTACACATTAAATAATATTAATTATATAAAGTGCCATTTACTAAATTAATTATATTAATTTAGTAAATGGAACTTTAATATATTCGCATTTTTTCGTCAAAACAAAATTGTTAAATAATAAGAATTTAATTTGAATTTTTCTATTTATTAAAGAAGTAGTTGAACTTAATTGGTAATTCATCTTTTATAGGTTCACCTGTTATCAATAATGATGTGGATCAGAATGCGAAGAATGTAAGTAATTAATTCTCGTGTTAGTAATTAATATATAATCATGCTATCGATTTAAAATTTTATACGAGTTTAGTTAGAAATTTTACAAACTATTACTTTTATTTATTGCTATAATCCTTTTTGTTAATTGACTCGTATGGAACGGATGCGTGGGAGCGAAATGAAAATTTATTGCTTTATAAAGATTTTTATTCTCTCTTAATGCATAACTCCAACGACATTTAAGAAGGTTATTTGATGGAACGAACACCTTTTTCATGAATTAAATATGATATAAATATTTTTGGAAATGGAAATCAAAAGTTTTGCAATAAAATATAATTATATCTTTTCGCATTTTCTAAAATTAATATATTAAAATTAAATAATACAAGTTTTATTATTTTATCTGTTTTATTTAATTTAATTTAATTTTGTTTAGTGATAGCACCTAATCAGATTTTTAAGTTATACATTCTGTACATTAATAGAGTGATGCCACCAGAAGGACATTAGTAAATTATGATCTTAAAGTTGAATAAATTTGTGTTAGACTAAAAGATAAATTAAATTTAAAGATTTTTACGTAATTGAATTATTTTCTACAACGCTTAAAGTGTTAAAAATTAAATATAATGCCTTTGACATGCCTAATATACTTTCTATCAAGGTCTTTCAGAGAGGCTCGGTCATTTACTTTTTTTGAGGCCCTACAGTATATTAAAAACGGAACGATATTGTATTTTTTATATAATAAAGATTTTTTCCCTTAATATACAAGAAATTTTATTAATGAATAATTTGTAAGAAATGTTTTTGATGCCTCTTGAACACTAGGCTCGAACCAATACCCAAGCTGGTCTTCTGCGAGGTTTGCCTTCTATATTTCCTGATAACGAATTATAAAGTTAATTAATCTGACAACTTACTACAAGAAGATTATTTCTGAAAACGAAATATCTTTAAAATTTTCTCGTTAAAACAATAATAATTCATTGTTTCATATCAAAAATACAACAAAACTTTATGAAATTTCTAATATTTTAATAACAACTGAATGAAAAATATGTATAGGGGAGATCGGGGCAAGATCGTCATGTTAAGCTTTACTTAAATTTTGTGTAATAAATACTGCTGTAAACTGAAAAAAAAGGCTTTGNCATACTTAACTATCAGAAAGAAGAATGAAATTTCTTTGGGCGGACAGGTAATTTATGAGCTAAGATTTCTGCTTTGGGCGTAGTTTTGTTTGTTAATAAACTTAGAAACTCATTTATTACACTAACACGAATGGAAGAAGGTAGGTTATATGAATCTATATTACACCAATAAAGTCTTTCTAGTTATGTTTATTTCCATAGAAATTGTGATGTACCGTACATATGTATGGCATAATTATAAAATGCAGATCATTTCAGATTATATTCAAGTCAATTCTAAATGTTTAGATTTGTGCTAATAGGAAAACGTGAAGCGTATCCATTTTTTCATTTTTCATAATTCGTGACACTTAGCTTGACATTTAGTAACAAGATAAAAATTACCAGATTGATACGAGTACTTTTAACGACGATTTAACAACGATTTATATAAGAGAAATTGAGAAGAAATATGTAGAATAATATCATTTTAATCTTCGTCTGTATCTTAGAAAAACATCTTCATAAACTTATCATCATCGTTTTTGAAAAATGTGGTTTTGATTCTTAATTTCTTGTCTTCAAAATTTCATATTGTTAGTAATCTATAATCATACTAACAACTAAACTACTAAAATATTATACAAAATTTATACTGTTTATTTACATTATAAAAACTCATAAATACCAAATAATGGCCTATTAGCGTTTACAAGGAGAAATAAATAAATAAACAATATAAATATAAATGAAATGACTAAATACTAGTTTCAAGACATTAAATTTTCAAAGAAATTTTGTTAAGAGAAGAGTTAATTATTATAATTTATATAAACTTTACAATAGATTCGTGTAAAAAATATAGCCCGTATACAGAATCTTATAATTCTCATCATTTAAAAATAATTTCACTTATATTTATCTCCAAAAACACTATTAATATATTACAAAAACAAAAAAGTTTATAAGATTATAGAAAATTTTTTAAAACAACTTCAGAACTATACAAGGCAAAATCTTTTTCTATAATTATCTTGATTTTATAGCACAGATATAGCAAATTTGGCAGAATTTCAAGTATTAATTAAAAAATTACATTTTATCGAATATTATAGTGTATCTGCATAAGCGCATCGACGCATTTTACGAAACTTTAATGCCTTAGATCAATTAAACTACATAAAAAATCTTATTCTTATCTTTTAAAACTAGAAACGAAACCTTCATTCTATTAATTCATTCTAAAAAGTAGTATAATTTTAATATCAAACGAAAATAAAGTGTATAACACAAGAAATAGATGTAAGATATTTGCTATATTTAAAATATTTCTAGAATATATTATTATTATTATTTCCCTCCTGTTCCAACACTTCATTGAATCAGGTTAGTCAAAGTCTTCTATGCTTTCCTGTCTTCTTTCCATCTTCTTTCTTGGGTAAATCTTCATTATTTTTTTTTCTATTCTAAGTCCTCTAGAATGTGAAGTTTTCCCCTTGGTCTTCTCATTGATTTATTATCTTCTACTATCTGTTCATAAAGTCATCTTGGTATTCCCGTTTCATATGCCAAACTATTCCAGACGTGTTTTTCTCATTCTGTCTACTAAGCAAGCCATTTTTAAGTTGTTTCATGTTATTTCATATTTTATCCTATTCCTATTATAAACCTCCAACAACAATAAGGAAGGGAGGTTGGGGAACACAAGAAGAAAATCCTATAATTTTCAATTATACAACGATATAAAATTTAAATAACAATAAATGCTTAAAAAGATTAATTTTCTTCAATTGTGTTAAATTTCTGTCTATGGTAATTATATAAAAAAATATTTAAGTTTAAAAAACACTAGGACACTAGCGCAAAGTTAAGATTGTATGTGGCGCCATCTTTTATGAGATTTTACATAAATTATTTTAAAATAATTTTTATATTAATAATTACTATAAAAAGTCAAAATATTTTTAGAATAGAGATAGAAAAAGAAAAAAAACATATAAATGCCAATAACGAATAAAATTTTCATTAAGTCCGATACCAATTGAAATATGACGCGACCCTCTATCTCCCCACTTCCTTAACCTTTCTTTAACCACCAAAATTTAATTGCATGAATGTCCCATATATAGAAATAACTATGCCAAATTGTGGAATTTTCGGTTCATACAATTGTGAGATATAATGCAAAATAGACACCAATATACGCACGCACGCACGTACACACAATTTCGTAAGGGCGTTTTTACATTTTTGGGTTCCTGGAGTGTCAAAACGTCGAGCGCTAAAATAACAGGGGTTCACAATTTGATCGATCACCATACATTCTCTATGTTGTATTCTATAGCAGCTGGGAAAGTAATATTGTCTTCGGAACGAAGAACATTTATCATTAATATCCGAGATGTGGAATATTTAACAGTTTATTTTAAACTAAAATAAATAAATAAATACTGTAAATAAAACTTACCACTCAATCTAATATTTTTTTCTTTAAAAAATAATTTTATATAGTAAAAAAAAATAAATATTATATTTTGAAACTATTATTATTTCCTTAAAACTGCTAATATAATCTGTTTTCTTCTTTATTACTTCAATAATTTGTCTGTTCATTTATAATATTCAATATTTAACTGTTCATGAATTTAAGTTTGAACTTTGAAGCTAATTAAAATTAACATTAATCAAACTGCTTAATATAAATTAAATGTTAGAAAATTGTTTAATGTTCCATTAAATATGAAAATTTTAATCTTGTTTGTTGTGGTTTATTCTAGGCAATCAACAACCCAATCTTTAATTACAAATTCTTATAATTTAATTTAAATTAATTTTTGTAACCAATTTTTTAATTATAATTTTTGTTAAGTTTGTAATATTTGTAATACACAAAAATTTCTTTTTAAGCATTTCATATGTCAAATAGAGAATGATAAAGTGTAGGCGGACAGACGATTTTTATAATAACATTTACACATTCTTTGAAGAAAAATATAATTACTTTCCTTGACTGAATATATTAACCTTTCAAATAAAATATTAATGAAATATAAAGTCTTTCGTGACAATTTATTAATACAAATTATTACACATTTACAATTAGATCAAGTATTTTAAAATGATTTTTTATAATTATGTTTACTTAATTAAGTATAAAATTGGAATTTCCTGTTAAAGTCAGAAACTTTAATTTCTTTATTTAATTATCTCTACATTCGATAATCACGAATTCTTAAATGCACCAAAAGAATCGCTGCATAACGTAATTAATTTTAGATTTAATTTATCTCATCGCAAAACAAGTTTTAATTAATAATTTTTCGTGTTTACCCAGCTGTTTTGTATAGCGAGATTTAAAACGTAATTAAACTTATACATAAACTTTAATTTTTTAAAAATATATTTGACAGTAAATATGTGGTCAATAAAAATTTATAAATGTATTATTTTTTCAGATTTATCCAACGGTCGAAATGGGAGAAAAATCAATCGAGCACAAAACTACAAGCCTTTTAACCGAAGCATTACAAATGATCCACAAGACCAGAGATTTCAAAGAGAGAAAATGGCTGGAATCTTTCGTTCAAAGGTTAGCGAAGTTGGCTTCTGAGTTGGAAGAAAATTCTAATAGTGAAGTCCAGAATGATAATAAGCCAACCGGCCAGGAGAAAGCTATAAGATTACAAAACGAAAACGAAGTTTTAGTGAGTGGGAAAGAGAAGATGCCATTAGTGAAAATTCCAAGTAGCACCGAAGTTGTTTATTCCGAATCACCGGTGGCTGCAAATTTCGTCGAGAAAGAACTGGATACATTTAATCCTCTTCAAATAAAAGTGCCAGAGACCACCCCCGAAGCTGACATGATATCACGTCGCGTCGTACCTTTGGAAACGTCATCGGCCACAGACCAACCAAATCCGACAACTCATTCGGAAACATTGAATCGTGTAGGCTTACAACGTCAGGTAACAAGATCTTTCCTATAAAATCTATAATAAATTTAACGAATATCGATAAAATTTCTATCATTTCTTTTTGTAGATATTAGAAAAGAATGAACTGTTAAAGGAAATTTTCAATAAGGTAACTTTTCTATATAATAACTTCATATGAAATGTATTAAAGAATATTTAGTTAATTTATGCGAAAAATAATTTGGGAATTATTTTGGATGGTAAAGTCTTACATAAACCAGAATTATCTATAATAAACTATATATATAACCAGAAACCAAATACATTATATATATAGCCTAAGTGTAAATTGGTAACTAATGAAAAGGAATAAACCTTTTATTTTATTAATAAATTAAATGAAGAATATGCATTTCTATTATACTTATTTCAAAATGAGCCATTTTAATATAGGCTATATCCTGGTATTAGATTTTATTTTCATTAACTTTTATTTTACTATAAAAAGTTTAATTTTATAATAATGACCTTGTAGTTTATATTTATTTTAGCAATTTTTTTTAATATTAGATACAAAAACTGAAAGAAATTGGAGGATCCCAACAAGATGTTATAAATCTATTGAAGAGAAGCGATGAGAATGGTATTTAATCGCTTCAAATCAATAATGTATGAGAGTAAAGAAATTTGATTAAGACTCCATGTTTTAACGTTTTAAATCTCGTTTTGGTAGAATCTCCCTCGACCATAAATGATCAAGAAGATATTGAATTTGAAGAAGAAGGTGCAGCAACCGGAGAATTAGAAGCGGATATGTCTGATATCAGTACGTTAGCACCTTCTTTGGGTCATGTGACAAGTAATACTTTATCCACATCGAGAAAGCCAGAGGAAGATGATTTAGTCAAGCAGTTAGAAGGAGAAAAATTTCTTCTGGTAAATCCAGACGAGCGCGGAAAGGATGAAGAGGTCCTCAGGAGGATTAATGGACTAGTGGCTCCATCTGTTGTCTGAAAAAAAATTCTAGCCAAACTACGTTAATAGTAGTGTTAATTAAAACTAGTGATTTCTAGACTGTAATTTCATCGCCCGACAATAGATGGTGCAAGCGTTTTCCGCCCATTGAGTTATAAAGAACGCGAGATGATTACATATCGCCCTTCGGGGTCATTTCTCCCCTTAAACATTTCTCTTAAATAGAAATAGCATTTAGAAATAGCGATTCTACACATTAATCCAATCAGATCTATTTAATGGCGTCGAGACAATAAAAAGATTTCATTGGTTTATTGTGATCGAATTATTCTATATCATGGACACTTTTAAAAATAACCTAGAGGGCCCTTCAAATAACAAACAACGAAGCCAAATCATCTCGCATGGATAGGTGTCATGTGATCTTATCGTAGCCAATAAATCCGAAATGATGTATGACGTCATCAATAAAGTATTGATTGTTGAGAGAAAAATATGTATTTTATTTCCTATATTTTAATTCCGCATTTATAGCAGCAATGAACTTTCTTTTAAATACTTATTCATTGTAAGAATATGTTTTATAGCTGTATTTATTAACTATGATAAAAACATTATAAATAATTTTCTTTGAAAAAAATTAATTGTTTCCTCACTAAATATGTCAGATCCCGCTCTGTACAGACTTCGGGATTCACAAACACGTAAGTTATGACAATATTCACTGCAAGTTGCCAAATGCAAAAAGTCTCTATTCACAAAGTACATCGTAAGTTACGATATTGTAAAAGATGTCGTAACTACTACGATATCTGATTAGGGTGACCACCCGTCCTACTGTGGGAGGACATGTCCTACAATTAAACCTTTTGTCCTATGTCCTACCGCCTAACGGAAATGTCCTCCTTTCACAGATAACTACTTCTGGGCCAATAGGTAGTCATTAATAATAACAATAAACTTTTTTTTCATATTTTTATATTAAATAATGGGTACAATTGCAACAAAGAGTAGTATTTAAAATAACAAGAATAGTATATCAATTTAAAATTATTTATTTATCAATTTTTAGTGTTTTGTGATTTTTTTACTACCGATTTTTATTGTTTTAAGCTGGGTTGTCAAATGTCCTACTTTGACTATGTCAATATTTGGTCACCCTATATGTGATAGCTTTCGTAAATCGGAAAAGGTGATGTCAGAATATTTGGCTCTATCGATAGACAATCGAGTTCATCGTTTAACTTTCTTGGCTGGTATGGAAAGTATGGTGATCAGTTAAAAATTACTCCCAAGATTTTAACATTTTTGTACTTAGGACATCTTGAAACATCGCGAAATGCAAAAACATTCGGAGTAATTTCTGTATGGATGTTAGTGTGTATGTTTGTGTAGAGCACGATTTTGTTTACCATGTTTGAAGTTTAATAAATTCTGTGCTTTTCGTCGAAAGTTTTAAAAATAAAATATGATTACAGATGGCGCCACTAAAATTTTAAATATTGCCGGAAAAGTTGAGCAACTCGTTTTTTGTTTTTTTCCCGATTGTCTTTGTTAAATATTTCCGATTCGAAACTTCGAAAATGTTATCAAATCACGAAACAATTAATAGAATTCCTCACCGAGGAAATAAAACTGTTTATAGAATATCGTACGAAAAATCACATTCGTTATAATTTAACGTTATCTTTCTTTTTAACCAGAAAGCTATTAGTTTGTCAATTTCTTTNATGTTATCAAATCACGAAACAATTAATAGAATTCCTCACCGAGGAAATAAAACTGTTTATAGAATATCGTACGAAAAATCACATTCGTTATAATTTAACGTTATCTTTCTTTTTAACCAGAAAGCTATTAATTTGTCAATTTCTTTTAAACTTTTTAAATATTTTTATTAATTAATGTAGCTACCAGTATGAATTTTATGCATATTTCGTTCCACGCCTGGGTAGGTTACAGTTTTTGGTAGTAGCGAGTTTTAGATACTATTATACGTATAAATAATTTACTTCAGAGCGACTACCTGTTTTAATTTTAACAAAATAAAATATCTTTCATCCTATACTGCAAGCACATGGAGCGAGAAATTTCTGAAAATACGTTACCAAGCAACGCCTTCCTATTAAAACGGAAACTCTACCAATCTCTTCCGTTTTGTCGTAAGTGTTACGACATAGTTTGTGAATACGAAATGTATAATTACAAATGTAAATCCGTCTCTGTAATCCAAAAAACACACTTTGGTAGACGTATCTCACAGCAATTTCTGGTTAGCAAATTATATTTATATTTTTTATTTTCCATTCAACTACAAATATATTTCGGGTTGGTATAATGTACTCCAACCCCTCCTCAGTGATTTTTCTCATTATGTAAATTACAAAATATTTTTTTTTTGTTTTTTGCTCAAAATACGGGGTGGGAGGGCAAACCTTAAGGATCAACCCGAAATATATTTGTAGTTCAATGGAAAATAAAAACTAATTTGCTATCCAGAAATTGCTGTGAGATACGTCTACCAAAGTGTGTTTTTTTGGATTACAGAGACGGATTTACATTTGTAATATATCATACAGCAAGCCGTTTATATATTATTCAAATGTAAAATGTTGTTAGTTTCTGGTTACTTTAGATATTGGAGAGATATTATGTCGTATCTTATGAGACATTTGTGAATTCGGGCCTTGGTGTGTATCTGGGTCAAAAATTTACGAATTTTTATAGGCTGTCTGTCCCGGTTACGTCGAGCTTCAATCACTCCCCTGTAGGTCTAATCGAATCCATGGTGTGTCTATAAACAGAAAAAGTTCAAAACTAAAATTAATTGTTTCTTCATCTGAACAGAAAACTCTTTCTCTCTCTCTCTTTTTTGTTTTTTGACTCTGTTCTGAGAGCACTAAGAGGATCTTTTCATCATAACCATCATGAGTTAAGCCGAGCCTATAATAAGTCTTTTTTATTGTTCATTCGGTGGAAGTGGATTTGCTGATTTGTTTAAAGAATAAAAATATCCTGAACAGACTACCCTCGAAAAATGCCTGGAGTTTTCCGACCGCCGGAATTCAATTCGAAGTTCTACAAAGCGGTGGGCTGATACTAATCAACTCGGCCATCCAGCCGTATGAAAACTCTTATTACAATTTTAAATAAAACTTAATTATAATTAGTTAATTTCGCTAATTAGCTATTTAGAGGTGACTTAAATTTTGAAATTATATCAAATAGATTTTATTTACAGGTTCGAATTTCTGTTTATTCATAATTATTTTTAGAATTAACCAATTTTGTTACGATTCAAATTCCATTCTGCTGTTAAAAGCATCACATTTCATAAATATAATTATTCTACAATGATTATTTAATATTTAATATATATTTTATATTTTTACATATAATATTTACAATAAACGTTTAACGTATATCAATGTCATAAGAAATCAAAAGACAAATAAGTTGAAATACTTTTAAACTTCCGTTTTACGGGTTTTGATACGGTGAATTTTGAAAATAACAAACTTAACCTAACATCTGTCGGAAGGAAATGAAACATCTTAGAATATAAGACTATGAATGTTAGTGGGCTGAAAGTTCGACGGCCGGATGGCTGAGCCGTCAAGGTGGCAGTCTACCGCTCTGTGGGACCCGGGATCTAATCCGGACAGTCAAGGAATCCCAGGAATTTTTCGGGGAGTGGCCCAATCGGATATATCAAGCCCCGTCCCTCACCACCCGGTTGCCCCATTGTGGGCCTGACCGAACCCATAATGGACTTGCTATAAGAGGACCTCTTAGTGCCCACGGGGAGGAAAGAGTAAAAAAAAAAAAAGTGCGCTGAGAGTTCACTCGAAGCCCATCGTTGTTTACATCCTTGCTTCAAAGTGTTATATTTGAATTTACCATAATATTCGCTGATTATGTCGCTTATCATATCTCATAAAGACCGTATTGTAGTTGAACATAATATCTTCGAAAAGAACAGACAGCAGCCGGATGGCTGAGCGGTTAAGATTGCAGCCTATCGTTCTGGTTATCTAAAATTGATTCTGGATGGGTTGAAAAAACTCCAGGAGTTCTTCGGGGTAATCCGTTTGGATTTCTTCCGAGCCTCGTCTGTCATCATCTAGCTGTCCCATTGTGGTCCTAGCCGACCCTATAATAAACTTGCTAAAAAAGACATCTTAAGCCCACAGGGCGGAAAGAGTTTACAGAAAAAATAAAACAAATAAAGATATCAAAACGGGACGGAGGATTAAAATTTCGTCATAAAAGACAAATGGGCATTATTATCAACTTGTTAATACATTATTACTGATATTGATTAGGTGGCATTAATTTTAAAAAAAATACATAAATTTCTCTAAAGTATTTTATTTTCAAAAATCGAACAAAAAACTAGCAATATTTTAATTACAATATGTTATCAAAACTTAATAGGTTGATGCAGAAAGTTTCCTAGAATCAAACTAAGCATATTTTTTAGATGAACTTGTTTTGTTTAAGTTCTAATCTGTTGCAGTTTTATCACAAAACTTATTGCATTGCAAGTCGCAATTATAATTAATATTGCTTTCATGGTTTCAATTTTTAATTTCGACTTTTCTTTTGACCACAGGAATTCATTCATTAAAATATTTGTTGTACAGTTGTTGTTGTGATTCCTGATAAACAGAGGGCCGATTTTATCACATTATCAAACCCTTGGAATTCAAGATCTTTTTCGTGTATTTTATTAAATATTTTGACCCATCTGTCAACTACACTGCTTTTAGTTTCCCGGCCATATGCATAACAAGGAAAAAGTATTGAAATCATGTCAAATTTGACCCTCCGAGTTTTTTGCAAATCTCCATACTTTCAAACCTCCTGAACCAAAAAAGGAAAAAAACGGCAAAAAATGGTGAAATGAATATATATATGTGTGTTGACGTTTATTTCGCTTTATATCTCAAAACGAAATTTAGCATGGTGGCTTGCATATAAGGGGCATTGATGCTATTAAATTCTTATAGATGGTTTAAGGTCAAAAGGGTGGGAAATGCGGGGGTTATGTGTCATATCTCGAGAGGGATCGAACTTAATGTAGATTTTACTCGTTATTAACAATTACAATTATTATAAACACATCTCCACAGACAAAATTAAGCGTTTTGTCTTTTTATAATAATTAATAATGTAAAAAAAATTTATGACAAAATCTCATAACAGATGCGCCACACACAATTTATTAATTAATAATATGATTAATAATATAAAAGTTACTGTACAGCACATACTACGATACTAGTGACCGGACATTCATGACGGAGAGTGTCACGTGTTGCAAAGGGGCTAAATATCACCATGGAGGGGGCCATATTGCTTCATCGGAGTTCACCATATTCACAACCCGATGAGTGCGATGCGCATGGGTTGCTATAGCAGTGAACTCATCGGTAAATATTGAAACACATTTTTGTAAATCGCAGTTCACCGATGCGTTGTTTGATGCATACTGGAATGTACCCATTGATTACCCGGCTTATGAGTGTTTATTCTAACCCTATATATCGGAGTTC